ATTGCTTGACATAAAACAGATAGTGGATTTGTTTATGTCTTTTGTTGAATCTTTTTCACGGCTCGATAGATAATTTGATAAGCCAATGATTTTTTTCCGTGTTTCATAATATGGTTAACCAACATGTTAACTAATCGATTACGATAAATTGGATCGGATTTGGCTGTTTTTTCTTCTACAGCACCTCGATGTGACATGGGTGTGAAGGGGTTCAAGAATCCGTTTGATGAGAATCATGTAGCCTTCCATGGAGGTTCTCCTAGTGAGGGGAATGAGCTAGTCCTTCATTCTAGTTTTGGAATGCCAATTTAGTTTGCAGGCCAATCAAGGAAGAAAGGATGGATCTTGACTACCTATGTGATAGGGAGTTGGTTCAAAAGAGCTATGATCAAGGCGAAGAGAATGTCATTAACTTTGGGGTTCAAACCAAAGGAGATGAAGACCTCATGGAAATAAGTGCCGAAGAGTATCAAGAGAGTTTGACTCTGTGTGCTCCATGAAGATCATTGATCAAGCTAGTGAGAAGAGTCATTTAGGTTCTTGAGTGGACGGCCTATTTGATCAAAGTGTTCAAGATTGAGTCCGTTGCTACACAATTGGATAGGTTGCAAACTATCTTAATTGTTTCAAGTGTTTTTCCAATCTTTTGGAGTGAATAAAGAGAATTCTACAAGTTTTGGAGTAAATTGGAGTTTTCTACAACTTAAGGGGCGCAAGACCAATATTCCACTTTTGGAAGGGCGTTCAAGACATTTTACTTCAACAATTTGGAGCTGAATTTCGAGATTAGAGTTAGTCTAAGTCCAGGAGTCAATTTTCGAATTTTTATCTAGTTAAATAAGTCATGTGGACTGAATTAAGCTAGAGTGTGTTGATTAGGAGTCTTAGATTCCTTCTAGATATTATCCTACTTGAGGATAAGTTATTTAGATAAGGTTTCCTAGATTTTAGATAGAGTCAAAGAGATCAAGTACTCTTCTACTTCTACTCCTTGGGAGATAAGATTAGAGAGTCCTAATTGGTCTTCTTTTTTAGTGGTGCTGGCCGAAAATTCTAAGCCTATAAATAGGAGGCTTGGCCGAATTTCATAAGCACCCTTGAGTGGTCATTTGTTGTCTCTTTTGAGAGTTTTTCCTGTGAGGAATTTTTGTTAAATGGAGTGTCCATTTTTCATGTCAAGTATGATTAAACCAAGAGGGTTTTCATCTTGTCTTGGATCTTTTTGATCTTGCAGAAACCGTTCTTTTTCAAGTATGCTTCTTGATAGAATTGTTTTAAAACAAAACTTCTTATTTTCATACTACTTCTAGTAGTTCGATTGATGAGCCTTTCCTTTGGCTTGGTGTTCGAATTTCATGATGAGTGTGTTCATGAGATCCATTGTGGGGTTTGTCCTACTTTTGTTGGATGAGTTGTGTTTTGGCATAAGCATTTTGAGATAGTGTATGTGTTGGATATCTTTGGTTGGTTATGAAGATTACTAATCAATAGTATTCCTTCATAGTTGGGCATTGTTTGCTCCTACCTTTCTTGAGTCGCTTGATAGATGACTGATCGAGTATATTGAATGGTGTCCTTGCTATTCTTAACGTGGGTTGTTGTTTAATTCGAATCTTTCATGGATAATGTGTTCTTTGCTAGGTTTGAGTTAAGAGATAGAATCACTTAGATAAACGATCGTCTTACTGTGAATTTTCCGCACTCTTTTGAGTTTCACGGGATAGACAAAATTATCTTCGTACTTTCTTGTTGATGGTTGCATTAACGAAATTTGCTTCGTCTACGAGATTGCTATCAGTTTCTTGGTATCAGAGCTTGGATTATCTTAGTGATGGTATTAATTGATATTATCATATACTTTCCTATTATCAGTTTGATTTTCGAGAGATTTCTTCTTAGTTGAGGACTTCATAGTTCTTGGTTTTGAGAATATCTTGTATTACCACGGAATCCGTTACTTGGTGTGGTGATCGAGCTTTGTGCTACTTAACGAGTAGTACTATCTTTATTTTTTTCAAGGTTCCTTCTTGTTTTGGAATAGGGTGTTGAAAAAATAACTCAAATTCTTGTGAAAACTACGTTTTCAAAATTGATCTTGTCTTTTGTGTGGTTGTGCGTGACTTCTTACACATTTGTTTGATCTTGTGGTGTTATTTTGAGGTGTATGTGAGAACTTAATGATGGTACGTTGGTATTTAATCAAAGTAGGCGCTACATCTTGAAATTTATCCTTGATTTGCAAGTAGAGAACTGTTTCTTCTATGAGCAAGTTGGTGGATCTTATGTGTTGGATCTTTAAGGAGAGAATTGATGCCAAAGAAGAGCTTCTTGCTCGAGATAGCCTTTTCTTTCTAAAGAGATATCTTTACATAAGGAAGATTTGAGAGTTTATCTTGTGGTAAATATCTTGGATCTATTCTTTGAAAGGTGAAGCTTAGTGATTTTGTACTTTCTACATAAAGTATAAATGAAAAAGCCTTCCTTCTTGTTGGTTTCATTTGAATCTAATGAGTAAAATGGAATTTATGGATTTTCAATTCATGAAAATTTCATAGAGACCGAATTTTGTTGATTATCTTGTTTAATCTTAGTGTCAAAAGATTTTTCAAAAGTAACAAATGCTGGTTTTCTTGTTTTCTCGAGTTTTACACTTTGAGATTGAGTCAAACTTTCTTTGTCATGTGATGAGGAATGAGTTTTTAGTGATATCAGTTTTTGGTATCAAAGTGTTTTAAGGTCTTTGAAGTTGAATTGTGCCAACTTTAAGGATTGAAGTCTTTGACTTGTGTTTTAAAACCTTGATTTTCGAGAATAGGACCGAAATATGAGTGAAGTTTTACTAAAAAGATTTTCTTAATTTATGACAAGAAATCTTATAGTCTTTGAGATGTATTCTTAAAGTTTACATATTTGGTTGTTGGAAAAGTTGATTTTCAATGGTCACTTATGAAGATGGCATTGTTAAATCATTGAGTTTTCAGAATGATTTGTGTTAAATTTAGTATTATGAAGCAAATGTCATAATTGAATGAGGAACTTTAATTTCCTACTTCATTATAATTATGGTGTTCTTGTTACTTTATTTGCCATGGATTGTTTTGGTAAAAACTGATTTTTGTTAATTCCAAGTACAATTTGGAAAAGGGTTTTTAGAAAGATTCTAAAAGTTGTTGTCCATTTTTGGAAAGTGGTAATTTTCAAGTTACCTTTTTAAGTGAGTCAAAAGTAATTTTTCAAATTTTAACTATGTGGTAAAAGGTTAATAGCCGAAATTTTGCTGACTTTTTGCATGTGTGTGCGTGTGATTTATGTGGTATTCTAAGCCTAGTTGGTTTTGAATTTTAGAGTCATAGTATAGCCGAAATTGTGAAGCTAAAAAATAGGGTTTCCTAGTCCTAGTTGAATTTGAATTTCGGTTGTATATTTGTGCTACACTTGGAGACCTATTTGGTCTTGTATTTGTGTGTTCACATGGCCAAAAATTTTAGCCCTAAAATTAAGGTCATTGAGTCCAAATTGTGTTATGATTTGAGTCCTATTCGGTTTTGGATTTTTGTGTTCACATTGGCCGAAAATTTGCAGCCATTGTTTCCTAATTGTAATACAATTTTATTGTGTGTTTTATTTAAGTCCTACTTGGATTTAAATACTAATTTTTGCATGTGTTAAATTATAATTTCAGTGAGATTATAATTAGAGTTTTAAAGTGAGTCTATTTTCGAAAACTATTAAGATAAGGAAGTCTTATCCTAATCTGAAAATTTTTTTAGTCTTCTAATACAATTATGCATGTGTGTGGCCGTGTATTTCTTTTAGTAGAAGGGGGTCGAAAATTTTATCTCTAATAAGTAGGGATGAGTTTTTCCTAATTTGTGTCCAAAAAGGATTATGTTTACCTAAGTTTTAGGACTCTATCCTTGTCTATATATATGAGGCTGGTTTTTCTTCTTCTTTATTCCATACTGTCGAGCAGCCTTCATCATTATAAAGGGGGGAATATTTTTGAGAAAATTTAGGTCCTATCTTGTAGGAGTTTTCTTGCACAAAAAGACTTGCATTGCCTATAACTAGGGGTGCTGTTTTTTGAAAATTCTCACATCACTCTACTCCAATTTTCTTCTTCTTTCTTGCTGCTGAGATCAAAAGAGAAAAGAACAAGAGAAGCACTCTTCTCTTTAATTCTGAAATTTTGAGAGTTGTGTTCTTAAAAGCACAAGAGAGTTTTTGTTTTTGGGGGAGAGCTTTATTCGAACCTTCCTGTGGTTCTTGGGGGGGGTTTCGGCCAAACCAAACTTTGGTTCTAGGGTTCAAGGAGTTTTTGTGTAGTAAACAAGGCACATTATTTCTTTTGTTGGTGGTTTCTCAGAGTTGTTGAGCAAAGATGTCATCCGGAGTTGCTGGTTGTACTCAAATCGCTTCAAAGAGTATAGAGGGTCGCATGGAGGCTCAAGTACAGCTCATGAAGAGTCAAATTGACTTCCTACATGATGCTTTGGCCGAGGTTAAGGAGGCAAATCGAGACTTGTCTCAATTGCTTTCAAATCAGCAAGATAAAGCTATGGTAAAATTTGAGAAAATTGCTGAAAATTTAAGAGTCTTATGTGATCGTTTTGAAGTTAAACAAGTACCCTCGTATGCTGGAATGTTGCAAGTGTCATTGCCTTTGTTTTATGGTTGTCATAGAGAACATGATACTTGGGAAAAGAGCATAGAGAATTTGTTTGTGTTGCTTAACATAGAGAAAGAGAGTGAGAAAATAGCCTTAGCTATAGGTTGTTTTCGTTCTAATGCTTTGAATTGGTGGAAGCTAGTTTCAAATATCTATTTGCATTATTGGTATCGTAATTTGGATGATTGGCATGATTTGAGAAGTGCTTTGCGAGAAAGATATGCTGGTACTAACACCTTTGATGAAGACAAAAGTGAAGTTGCTTAATTGTAAGCAGAATGGTAGATCCATTCAATCTTACTTTGAGGAATTAGAAGGGTTGTTTCTGAGTTCAGAAGTGGATGAGAACGACTACATGTTGACAGACCGTTTCCACTATGGCTTGGACAACACCACCAAACAACACCAAAGATAAGGAGACAATCAAGGCTCTATGAGGCATACTATGCTGCCTTAGAAGTGGAAAGAGAGCATGATACTTCTTGTGGTTAGAAGTCAAACTCTCTTGATACTCTTCAGCACTTATTTCCATGAGGTCTTCATCTCCTTTGGTTTGCACCCGAAAGTTAATGACATTTTCATCACCTTGATCATAGCTCTCTTGAACCAACTCCCTATCACATAGGTAGTCAAGATCCATCCTTTCTTCCTTGATTGGCCTGCAAAGTAAACTTGGCATTCCAAATCTAGAATGAAGGATTAACTCATTCCCCTCACTAGGAGAACCTCAATGGAAGGCTATATGATTCTCATCATCCCCTCCTTCTTTAAGAGGATTCATCCTCGAATCATCAACCTCTATACCTGCACAAGGAACAAACGAGATATAAGGGTTAGTAAAATCCTCACCCTCACCACACTCTAATTTTCTCTCATTGCGTGCATTCATTTCTTTTTCCATGCTATTTTCATGGTTTTCTCTCGCCTCAAGTCTTACCTCATCGTGACCCTTTTTATTTTCTTGCGTCACTCGCTTGACTTTTTCTCTCACTTGTGTATAGGTTATCTTACGTCTTTTCTCTCGCACAGATTCAGATTCTTCATAAGCCAAAGGCTTAAGAACATATTTTCTGTCCTTTTTAGTAAAGACAAAGATATTCTTTGAGCAATGGTGCACAGCATCTACATCTGACTGCCAAGGCCTACCTAGCAAAATATCACAAAGAGACATAGGAATTACATCAAAGTAAATTTCATCCCTATACTCACCAATCTGAAAAGGTACCATGGCCTTTTTAGTAACATCCACAACCATCTCTTCACTCAACCATTGAAGCTTGTATGGTCTAGTATGCGAATCCATCTGAATTCCGTTTGCTATGCAAAATTCCTCACTTACACAATCAGTACTCGACCCACCGTCGATTACCAAATCAACTTCATTGGACCACCCAACCGAACACTTAGTACGGAAGATACAAGTCCGTTGATCTCCATCTTCAGCTCCAAACACCAACCCCGATCCTCAATTGGACCATTCCAACCACAAGAAGTATCATGCTCTCTTTCCACTTCTAAGGCAGCATAGTATGCCTCATAGAGCCTTGATTGTCTCCTTATCTTTGGATGTTGTTTGAAACACTTGTCCAAGCCATAGTGGAAACGGTCTGTCAACATGTAGTCGTTCTCATCCACTTCTGAACTCAGAAACAACCCCTCTAATTCCTCAAAGTAAGATTGAATGGATCTACCATTCTGCTTACAATTGAGCAACTTCACTTTTGCTTCATTAAAGGTGTTAGTACCAGCATATCTTTCTCGCAAAGCACTTCTCAAATCATGCCAATCATCCAAATTACGAAACCAATAATGCGAATAGATATTTGAAACTAATTTCCACCAATTCAAAGCATTAGAACGAAAACAACCTATAGCTAAGGCTATTTTCTCACTCTCTTTCTCTATGTTAAGCAACACAAACAAATTCTCTATGCTCTTTTCCCAAGTATCATATTCTCTATGACAACCATAAAACAAAGGCAATGACACTTGCAACATTCCAGCATACGAGGGTACTTGTTTAACTTCAAAACGATCACATAAGACTCTTAAATTTTCAGCAATTTTCTCAAAACTTACCATAGCTTTATCTTGCTGATTTGAAAGCATTTGAGACAAGTCTCAGTTTGCCTCCTTAACCTCGGCCAAAGCATCATGTAGGAAGTCAATTTGACTCTTCATGAGCTGTACTTGAGCCTCCATGCGACCCTCTACATTCTTTGAAGCGATTTGAGTACAACCAGCAACTCCGGATGACATCTTTGCTCAACAATTATGAGATTCCACCAACAAAAGAAGTAATGTGCCTTGTTTACTACACAAAAGCTCCTTGAACCCTAGAACCAAAGTATGGTTCGGCCAAAACCCCCCCAAGAACCAAAGGAAGGTTCAAATAAAGCTCTCCCCAAAAACAAAAACTCTCTTGTGCTTTTAAGAACATAACTCTCAAAAATTTCAGAATTAAAGAGAAGAGTGCTTCTCTTGCTTTTCTCTTTTGATCTTGGCAGCAAGAAAGAAGAAGAAGAATTGGAGAAGAGTGATGTGAGAATTTTCGAAAAACAGCACTCCTAGTTATAGGCAATGCAAGTCTTTTTGTGCAAGAAAACTCCTACAAGATAGGACCTAAATTTTCTCAAAAATATTCCCCCCTAATTGATGAAGGTTTGCTCGACAATGTCGAATAAAGAAGAAGAAAAACCGGCCTCATATATATAGACAAGGATAGAGTCCTAAAACTTAGGTAAACATAATCCTTTTTGGACACAAATTAAGAAAACTCATCCCTACTTATTAGAGATAAAATTTTCGACCCCCCCCACTACTAAAAGGACTCAAATACACGGCCACACACATGCACAAATGTATTAGAAGACTAAAATATTTTCAGATTATGACTAAGACTTCCTTATCTTAATAGTTTTCGAAAATAGACTCACTTTAAAACTCTAATTATAATCTCACTGAAATTATAATTTAACACATGCAAAAATTAGTATTTAAATCCAAGTAGGACTTAAATAAAACACACAATAAAATTGTATTACAATTAGGAAACAATGTGATAGCAATCTCGTAGACGAAGCAAATTTCGTTAATGCAACCATCAACAAGAAAGTACGAAGATAATTTTGTCTATCCCGTGAAACTCAAAAGAGTGCGGAAAATTCACAGTAAGACGATCGTTTATCTAAGTGATTCTATCAAGAACACATTATCCATGAAAGATTCGAATTAAACAACAACCCACGCTAAGAATAGCAAGGACACCATTCAATATACTCGATCAGTCATTAATCAAGAGACTCAAGAAAGGTAGGAGCAAACAATGCCCAACTATGAAGGAATACTATTGATTAGTAATCTTCATAACCAACCAAAGATATGCAACACATACACTATCTCAAAATGCTTATGCCAAAGCACAACTCATCCAACAAAAGTAGGACAAACCCCACAATGGATCTCATGAACACACTCATCATGAAATTCGAACACCAAGCCAAAGGAAAGGCTCATCAATCGAACTACTAGAAGTAGTATGAAAATAAGAAGTTTAGTTTTAAAACAATTCTATCAAGAAGCATACTTGAAAAGAATGGTTTCGCAAGATCAAAAGATCCAAGACAAGATGAAAACCCTCTTGGTTTAAACATACTTGACACGAAAAATGGACACTCCATTTAACAAAAATTCCTCACAGAAAAACTCTCAAAAGAGACAACAAAATGACCACTCAAGGGTGCTTCTAAAATTCGGCCAAGCCTCCTTTATATAGGCTTGAATTTTTCGGCCAGCACCTCTAAAAGAAGACCAATTAGGACTCTCTAATCTTATCTCACAAGGAGTAAAAGTAGAAGAGTACTTGATCTCTTTGACTCTATCTAAAATCTAGGAAACCTTATCTAAATCACTTATCCTCAAGTAGGATAATATCTAGAAGGAATCTAAGACTTCTAATCAAAACACTCTAGCCTAATTCAGTCCACATGACTTATTTAACTAGATAAAATTCGAAAATAACTCCTAGACTTAGACAATGACTCTAATCTCGAAATTCAGCTCCAAATTATTGAAGTAAAATGTCTTGAACGCCCTTCCAAAAGTGGAATATTGGTTTTGCGCCCCTTAAGTTGTAGAAACCTCCAATTTACTCCAAAACTTGTAGAATTCTCTTTATTCACTCCAAAAGATTGGAAAACACTTGAATCAATTAAGATAGTTTGCAACCTATCCAATTGTGTAGCAATGGACTCAATCTTGAACACTTTGATCAAATAGGTCGTCCACTCATGAACCTAAATGACTCTTCTCACTAGCTTTGATCAATGATCTTCATGGAGCACACAGAGTCAAACTCTCTTGATACTCTTCAGCACTTATTTCCATGAGGTCTTCATCTCCTTTGGTTTGCACCCCAAAGTTAATGACATTCTCATCACCTTGATCATAGCTCTCTTGAACCAACTCCCTATCACATAGGTAGTCAAGATCCATCCTTTCTTCCTTGATTGGCCTGCAAAGTAAACTTGGCATTCCAAATCTAGAATGAAGGATTAACTCATTCCCCTCACTAGGAGAACCTCTATGGAAGGCTATATGATTCTCATCAGAGTTGCTTATATCTTCATTTTAACCCAAAATGTCAACAATTCCTCCTTTTGAGTACAATTCCTACAATTAAAGATAAAATCACAGAAATAGCACATTTGTATTCAAAATATTGGCAAAATTTCACATAAAAGAATATTAAAAATAGGTAAAATTTAAGCATATCATATACTTTGAGAATGAGTCGAATTAATGGATCTTCCTATCATTGGACTTTCATGATTCTTAACTTGAGTTTCAAAACTTTCTTTATCATTTGATGAGGAATGAATTTTAGTGATATCAATTTTGGTATCAAATGTTTAAAGGTCTTCGAAGTTGAATTGTGCCCACTTTAAAGGTTCAAGTCTTTGACTTGTGTTTAAAACCTTGATTTTCGAGAGTTGAATCGAGAATTGAGTGAAGTTTTACTAAAGATTTTCTTATATATGACAAGAAATCTTATAGACTTTGAGATATATTCTTGAAGTTTACATATTTGGTCTTTGGAAAATTTGATTTTCAAATGGTCACTTATGAAGATGGCTTTGTTGAGTCATTGAGTCGTATGAATGGTTTGTGTTAAAATGAGTATTATGAAGCAAACGTCATAGTTGAATGAGCAACTTTAAATTCTAACTTCATTATACTTATGGTCTTCTTGTTACTTTATTTGCCACAGATTGTTTTGGTAAAAAGTGATTTTTGTTAATTCCATATACAATTTGGAAAGTGGTTTTTAGAAAGTATTCTAAAAGTTGTTGCACATTTTGGAAAGTGGTAATTTCCAAGTTTTCTTTTTAAAGTGAGTCAAAAGTAATTTTTCAAATTTTAACTATGTGGTAAAAAGTTAAATTTCGAATTTTGCTGAAATAATACATGTGTGTGCGTGTGTTTTATTTCGAATTCTAAGCCTAATTGGTTTTGAATTTTAGAGTCATAGTATAGCCGAATTTTTGAGCTAAAAAATAGGGTTTCCTAGTTCTAGTTGAACTTGAATTTTGGTTGTCTATTTGTGTTACACTTTGAGACCTATTCGGTCTTGTATTTGTGTGTTCACATGACCGAAAATTTTATCCCTAAAATTAAGGTCACTGAGTCCAAATTGTGTTATGATTTGAGACCTATTCGGTCTTGGATTTTAGTGTTCACATTGGCCGAATTTTTCAGCCTTTGTTTCCTAATGGTAATACAATTTTATTATATGTTTTATTTGAGTCCTACTTGGATTTAAATACTAATTTTTACATGAGTTAAATTATAATTTCAGTGAGATTATAATTAGAGTTTTAAAGTGAGTCTATTTTCGAAAACTATTGAGATAAGGAAGTCTTATCCTAATCTGAAAATTTTTTGAGTCATTTAATACAATTGTGCTTGTGTTTGGCCGTGTTTTTGAGTCCTAATTGTAATAGGGGGTCGGATTTTTTGTCTCTAAATAATAGGGATGAGTCTTTCAATTGTTTTATGACATAGTTCATAAGTTATGTCCAAAGGGGATTATGATTACCTAAGTTTTAGGACTCTATCCTTTTCTATATATATGTGGCAAGATTTCTTCCTTTTTATTCCATCTTGTCGACTGAAATTTTATCAATTAAGGGGGAATATTTTTGAGAAAATTTAGGTCCTATCTTGTAGGAGTTTTCTTGCACAAAAAGACTTGCATTGCCTATAAATGGGGGTACTGTTTTTCAAAAATGCTCACACTACTCTACTCCATTCTTCTTCTTCTTCTTGCTACCGGGATCACAAGGGTGAAAATAAGAGAAGCACTCTTCTCTTTATTCTGAATTTTTGAGAGTTAGTGTTCTTTAAAAGCACAAGAGAGTTTTTGTTTTTGGGGAGAGCAATATTCGAACCTTCCTTTGGTTCTTGGGGGGTTTCGGCCGAACCAATCATTGGTTCTAGTGTTCAAGGAGTTTTTTTGTAGTAACAAAGGCACATTACTTCTTTTGTTGGTGGTTTTTCAGAGTTGTTGAGCAAAGATGTCATCCGGAGTTGCTGGTTGTACTCAAGTTGCTTCAAAGAGTGTAGAGGGTCGCATGGAGGCTCAAGTGCAGCTCATGAAGAGTCAAATTGACTACTTGCATGATGATTTGGCCGAGGGGAAGGAAGTGAACCGAGACTTGTCTCATTTGCTTTCAAATCAGCAAGATAAAGCTATGGTAAGTTTTGAGAAAATTGTTGAAAATTTAAGAGTCCTATGTGATCGTTTTGAACTAAAACAAGTACCCTTGTATGCTGGAATGTTGCAAGTGTCATTACCTTTGTTTTATGGTTGCCATAGAGACTATGATACTTGGGAAAAGAGCATAGAGAATTTGTTTGTATTGCTTAACATAGAGAAAGATAGTGAGAAAATAGCCTTAGTTATAGGTTGTTTTCGTTCTAGTGCTTTGAATTGGTGGAAGCTAGTTTCAAATATCTATTCGCATCATTGGTATCGTAATTTGGATGATTGGCATGATTTGAGGAATGCTTTGCGAGAAAGATATGCTGGTACTAACACCTTTGATGAAGCAAAAGTGAAGTTACTCAATTGTAAGCAGAATGGTAGATACGTTCAATCTTACTTTGAGGAGTTAGAAGGCTTGTTTCTGAGTTTTGGGGTGGATGAGAACAACTACATGTTGACAGATCGTTTCCACTATGGCTTGGAAGAGGGTTCAAACAACACCCAAAGATAAGGAGGCAATCAAGGCTCTATGAGGCATACTAGGCTGCCTTAGAAGTGGAGAGAGAGCATGATACTTCTTGTGGTTGGAATGGTCTGATTGAGGATCAAGGGTTGGTGTTTGGCGCTGAAGATGGCGATCAACAGACATGTATCTTCCATACCAAGTGTTCGGTTGGGTGGTCCAATGAAGTTGATTTGGTAATCGATGGTGGATCGAGTACTGATTGTATAAGTGAGGAATTTTGCATAGCAAACGGAATCAAGATGGATCAGCATACAAGACCATACAAGCTTCAATGGTTGAGTGAAGAGATGGTTGTGGATGTCACTAAGAAGGCCATGGTATCTTTTCAAGTTGGTGAGTATAGGAATGAAATTTACTTTGATGTAATTCCTATGCCTCTTTGTGATATTTTGTTAGGTAGGCCTTAGCAATCAGATATAGATGTTGTGCACCATTGCTTGAAGAATATCTTTGTCTTTACTAAAGAGGACAAAATATATTCTTAAGCATTTGGCTTATGAAGAAGTTGAATCTGTGCGAGAGAAAAGATGTAAGATAACCTATACACAAAGGAGAGAAAAAGTCGAGAGAGTGACGCAAGAAATTAAAAAAGGTCACGCTAAGTTAAGACTTGAGGCGAGAGAAAACCATGAAAATAGCAGGAAACAGAAACAAACACACGCAATGAGAGAAAATCAGAGTGTAGTGAGGGTGAGGATTTTACTAACCCTTATATCTTGTTTGTTCCTTGTGCAAGTTTAGAGGTTGATGATTCGAGGACGAATCCCCTTAAAGAAGGAGGGGAGATGAGAATCATGTAGCCTTCCATGGTGATTCTCCTAGTGAGGGGAATGAGCTTATCCTTCATTCTAGTTTTGGAATGCCAAGTTTACTTTGCAGGCCAATCAAGGAAGAAAGGATGGATCTTGACTACCTATGTGATAGGGAGTTAGTTCAAAAGAACTATGATCAAGGTCATGAGAATGTCATTAACTTTGAGGTTCAAACCAAAGGAGATGATTCACTCATGGAAATAAGTGCTCAAGAGTATCAAACGAGTTTGACTCTAGGTGCTCCATGAAGATCATTGATCAAGCTAGAGAGAATAATCATTTAGGTTCTTGAATGGACGGCCTATTTGATCAAAGTGTTCAAGATTGAGTTCATTGCTACACAATTGGATAGGTTGCAAACTATCTCTATTGTTTCAAGTGTTTTTCCAATCTTTTGGAGTCAATAAAGAGAATTCTACAAGTTTTGGGGTAAATTAGAGTTTTCTACAACTTGAGAGGCGCAAGACCAATACTCCACGTTTGGAAGGGCGTTCAAGACATTTTACTTGAATATTTGGAGCTGAATTTCGAGATTAGAGTTTGTCTAAATCTAGGAGTTTAATTTTTGAATTTTATCTAGTTAAATAAGTCATGTGGGCTGAATTAAGCTAGAGTGTTTTTATTATGAGTCTTAGATTCCTTCTAAGTATTATCCTATTTGATGATAAGTCATTTAGATAAGGTTTCTTATATTTTAGATAGAGTCAAAGAGATCAAATACTCTTCTACTTCTACTCCTGCGTGAGATAAGATTAGAGAGTCCTAGTTGGTCTTCTTTTTTGGTGCTTGGCCGAAATTCATAGCCTTAAATAGGGGGGTATGGCCGAAAGTTAAAGCACCCTTGAGTGGTCATCTTTGTTGTCTCTAATGAGAGTTTTTCCTGTGAGGAATTTTTATTAAATGGTGTGTCCATTTTTCATGTCAAGTATGATTTAACTAAGAGGGTTTTCATCTTGTCTTGGATCTTTTGATCTTGCAGAAACCGTTCTTTTTCAAGTATGCTTCTTGATAGAATTGTTTTAAAACTAAACTTCTTATTTTCATACTATTTTTAGTAGTTCGAGAGTTGAGCCTTTCTTTTGGCTATGGTTTTCGAATTCATGATGTGTGTGTTCATGAGTTCCTTTGTGGGGTTTGTCCTACTTTTGTTGGATGAGTTGTGCTTAGGCATAAGCATTTTGAGATAGTGTATATGTTACATATCTTTGTTGGTTATGCAGATTACTAATCAATAATATTCCTTCATAGTTGAGCATTGTTTGCTCCTACCTTTCTTGAGTCTCTTGAATGATGACCGATCGAGTATATTGAATTGTGCCCTTACTATTCTTAGTGTGGGTTGTTGTTTAATTCGAATCTTTTATGGATAATGTGTTCTTTGCTTGGTTTGAGTTAAAAGATAGAAATCCTTAGATAAATGATCGTCTTACTGTAAATTTTCCGCACTCTTTTGAGTTTCACGGCATAGACAATTTATCTTTGTACTTTCTTGTTTGATGGTTGCATTAACGAAATTTGCTTCATCTACGAGATTGTTATCAGCTGTTGACGGCTCTCTAACGCCAACATTTACTTCAGAAACTCATGTATAATTTAGACTTGGCCTCATTTGACAGAGTTAGAGTTAGTGCAAGTAGAACTATAAGGTGGAACGAAATCTTAGTAATGTCAACTTTGTAGATTATTGGCTTCTTTTGCTGCTGCCAATATTTGTTTCGGCCCTAAGGCGACAGAGAGAAGGAGTCAATGAAGGGGTGCAAATTTGTTGAATCGACAGCAAGACTGTCACTTACGTAGGTCTCAAAGTAGAAGCAGGAGAATAACAAAAAATCTAAGAAGGCAGGGAGTCATAGATTCTTTAAATGTATATCTTAAAAAATTTCTGTGTACACTCTTGGCGTTTAAAAACGCAATCAACTTAGTTGCATTACTCCCGGTCTTCATTAAGTTTTGTCTAATTTCTTCTTACTACTATTGATTTGTTCTGCCCAAGCGCGGATATAGTAGGAAATGCCCCATACCCAATATTAATTTAATTTTTCTAAATATTCTGACACTCTATTTTGCTAATGTACAACGCGATGTGTTCGTATATATGTATTTATGAATATGACACAGCGCGATGTGTTAATATATATGTATTTACGTGACGGCGTTAACGTCTTGTAGTATTCCGATGTAAAAAAAATATTTTGAGCAATTTTTCCTAATTAAAAAGACTTCCCAACAGACATCTATATGACAACATACACATAATTATTAAAATGCATGGCGAATGCCACAAAATCCAGTTATGTAATACCGGGCATGATCATCACTCCACGCATGCACGGAATAACAATTGCGCTACTAAATATACAATATTCATAACCATAGGTCACAATGTTCATAATAAATCTACACATTATTGATACTAAAAAGGAAAAAAGTGTTCATAACCATAAAATGTAATGCTCATCCTACATTTACACACAGTTCATGCAATACATAAAAAATAATAACTGTTCATAATTATAGGATACAATATTCATAACAAATTTACACATTTTCATACTATACATAAAAATAATAATACGAATTTACATAATATTATTATTGTTCAAACCCTAGAGATGAGAAATTCATGACTGTCAAAAATATTCATGGATTAAAAATATTATTATACTACCTGTATTCCAGATATCATATAACAATGTTATTTTAAAAGAATTTATCGTATTTTTATTTTCATGATGATTGGTCGCAATTTCCATAAATATAATGCTCAATATTCATGATAAGTTATCAAAATTTTTGAATTATAGTTAATTTACACGGTTGATTTGAAGAGAAAAAAAGAGAAAAATCAAGTTAATTATAAAAAGAATTTTTATTTCTAATTTATTTCTGTGAGAAAAAAAAAGGAAAAATTGAATCAATTAAAGAATTGGTGAACATAGATTAATTGCGCGTGAGAGAATTTTAAAACAAGTTATGGAAATTCACTCCCTCTTTTCTTACATGTTTTACAAACAAAAAAACAAGTCAGGTGAACACAATGCACAATATAAATTACCGTAAAAAAGTCATAATCATCGGCCTCATTAATAACACGTGATACGTTAAAACAAACCCGCCAGTTTGGGTGGACTGAAAATGCAGAAGGCTAAGAGCTCTAAACCAGGGTTGTGATTAATCACATTGTTTCTAAATTCTAAGGACCTGGTGTCCGCCTCATAAATATTTTGGCCAAACAAGGAAGAAGACAATAATGTCAAGTGAATTTCTTAAGTCTTAAACTTAATATTCTGTCCCAAAATGATTTGAGAAAATAAGGATTAAGCCTCATGCTAAACCAAAACTTCTGTTTGTAAGAAGAAATCTAGGAAAACATATCATGTATTCCTCACGGTACACTTTGGATGTATCCTGCTAAACTAATTGAGCAGAATAAACAATTTGAAATAACGGAAAAAAGAAATCCTAGGAGGGGAAAAAACAGAATAGGTTTAAGAGCGAAAATAATGGCATAGTAGTTAATTATAATTATAATGCCTAATGCAACAAAACAAATCCTATTTATTAGCTAAATGTTTTTCTAGAATATGAATAGTACTAAATGATTGAATAATAATACAAACAAATCCCAGAAAATCGACTGATGCCGTACACAGTGGTTCTTAAAATGTCAGGTACCAGTTAATGGTCACATACTGTATTGTATCACCGTCTTTAATAGCCATAATTTCCGCCATAGACCGAACCATAGCCCCCAGTTTGTCCTCCAACGCCTGGGTTTGAAGGAGCGGGTGCATAAAGGCTGCTCTGGGATGCGAAAACATTATATCCCTGGTCAGTGGTTGCTCCTGCCTGGGTATGCACTGCAGCTGCTTCAGCAATGCAATTCTGACATACCAGTACAAAGATTAAGTCTGTGTTGCCCGGGCAACTGAGTTAATCAATTTAATTGAGCAAACTACAATGACCATGGATGCCTGGTGTCCTAATTTAGGATTCCCATGCACATCAGACTGGAAAGCTCTGCTTGAGGTTGTAATGGGAAGAGTATACAAGTGCTAAAAGGGATAATAGTTCCGAGAAATAGAATTTAAGAAGCTCAATCAAGATATAAAATCAAAGCCATCTTAAAAAAATTGTATGTCTAAGTCGAAGCTCAAGCAATAAAAATAGATCTTCCAGATCACAAGAGCATAATGGGTTCTACATGGCGAAGAAGGCAAGGGAAAAACTGAAGAACTTTACCTGAATTAATTGCTGAGCTGTTTGAACTTGTGACGCAGATCCACTAATCTCAGCGGTCATTTCGCCAGGTACTTCCCGATTCTCCTGAATGGTAACAGTAGCGCCACTAACCCTCCTAATGTAACTGATACTAGCACCATCTGTACCAATCACAGCATCTGCATACGATAAGGGGATTACCATCTGTTGTGTGACCTACAAATGGAAAGAAATTCAGATCATGAAAAAAATAGCACGAAAAAGTAGAAGACAGGAGGTAGAAGACATGAGATAATCCACTACTTCAATTGCTGTATGATACAATGAACCCCTTGGTGTGATGCCTAGGATTCCTGCAACGTGATGCCAAAGGGGCCTAAGAGTGATTCAAGACATGAGATAATCCACTACTTCAATTGCTGTATGATACAATGAACCCCATGGCGTGATGCCTAGGATTCCTGTAACGTGATGCCAAAGGGGCCTAAGAGTGATTCTTAGGTTTTCTTCCTCTTTCCTACTGTTTTATATCTGTTTCCCTGTGATTCCTAAGATGTTTTCCTGTAACCACAGTCTGATTGTCTTAACAAGGCCGATTGTCCTCCATCAATTTGGCATCAGAGCCAAATTTCCTAGAAAATTTTGCTTTGATAAAACAAGGGTTAAAGTTCCCAATTCATACATCACTTTGGCATCAATTTCCCTGATGAATTGTGCTTTCATAAGGGTTCAGAGATCCACAAATATAAATCCCTATAGTATAGTCTGCGTCCTACGCTTTAGCCACAGTCTGATTGTCTTAACGAGGCCGATTGTCCTACGTCAATTTGGCATCAGAGCCAAAATTCCTAGTCAATTTTGCTTTGATAAAACAAGGGTTAAAGTTCCTGATTCATACATCATTTTGGCATCAATTTCCCTGATGTGCCTATCCACAAATATGAATCCCTATAGTATATGTCATCCTAAGTCACTTAGTGGTTCAGAAATTGTAGAGGAAGATGAGGTTATTGACGTAGATGAGATGGGTGCGTTTGATAGTGATGATTTAGAAGAAGAGGACGATGTTGACATATCCTCTCTTTCACTTGTTAGACGAATTTCTAGCGCAAAAACAAAAAAATAAATAAATAAATAAAAATAGGGGAGGAAGATTGGAGGACATCAATATTTCAGACATTGGTTTCTTGTGAAAAGATGCCAAGAAACTGATCATACATGTGGTAGTAGCATGAATTTGGTTTCGGGACCCACCGTGGAAAGGCTGGATTTAACCACAGAGCCACATCCTTCCATATAAGATTGCATGGATTAACAGCACAACTATTCCTGTGACCAAGTGTTGCTTGGTAGAAATCAAAAGAGGTAGGTATGTTGATTGTATATTTATTTCCATGAATGTTTCACAGATAACCTTAGGAAGACATTGGTTATATGATTGGAAAGTTATGCATGATGGTGAAGCCAACACCTACTCCTTTAACTTAAACAACAAAAAAATTGTTTTGAAGCCCCAAACTGATAAAGTTATGATGAAGCAATGCTCACCTACGTTAATAAAATTTCCCGCGGAAGCTATGCTTTTGAAATTGTTGTGTGATACAATGAACACCCCCTTGGTGTGATGCCTGTGTGATCCCAAAGGGCCATAAAAGTGATTCTTAGCTTATCTTCCTATTTCCTACTGTTTTGTTTAATCAGATTCTTTTAGTTTTTTCGCCTGTGCTCTACCCTTTAATCAGCCTACAGTCTGATTTTCACCACCATTCCTACATCAGGTGTTCAAGGTCGTTCTACCCAACAACAAAATTGTAACAGGGAATAAAAATTCAATATCTTAGCATAATATCCAATTAGTAGATGAAAAGGTCAGGCAAGACGACCAACCTGAGTGATCAAAGACTGCACTGCTTGGTTGTTTGATGATGATTGCACTGCCAATGAAGCTTCTCTATTATAAGCTGAAATGCCCGGATAAGCTTGTTTCTCAAGATGAGGAGGCATCTCTACAGGAGAATAATAGTTCTCATGTTGTCGAGGAGGTGGAGCGAAAAAAGGGCTGTTAGCTCTGTATCCTGGAGGCCCAGCAACACTCGGAGGAAAATGTTGAGGTGGAGGAGGTCCCCAGGATTGGTTAGGAGGAACATATTCCATGTGAGAAACTGACTTTTGCATCTGAAGTTATAAAAAAAAAAAAGAGAGAGAGAGAAAGATAAACCAGAAGTTAACTTTCAACCAACAGCTTCAATTCTAATTTGTGGGCAATTCGTGACAAATAAAAGTAACTTACTTGCGACTCGAAAACAGATATTATACTGCGATCAACTAAAAACTTCCTCAGATGAGAAGCAATTAGCTCAATTCCCTTGTGTGTGGCTGCAGGATCTCCTGAAACTTCCACTATCCTATCATCTGGAAAAGCAAAGATTGGCAGGTCTTCTGCAATGACAAACAACAAACAGCTCGAGGCAATTATACACTTGATGAGTTAAAAGACCTCATAAAGAATCCAGAGAATATTCTACGGGCAATCCCTTTACTCAAGTTGCACTTGAAATACGTACTATGCTTTCAGTTTGCACGTCTATTGCGATTTCACGTTTTGTTTATTTATTTTCTTCCTCAGTCCAACTTCAGATGCACAAGTACAACCTAGAAGGAAGGTGCCTGTAGGGATGACTTTAGATAAGGATCTGGTTTCTCACAGGGCCTACAAATCAAGCTCCGTACGTGGGTCATGAGACCTAAAGATCTGGGTTTGGATCCGGTCATTCATGCCTACCTATGTATCTTCATATTTTACAGAATTAACCTTTCACCCTCATACACTATACTGCTAGTCATAATAACATCATGCATCAGAGTTCATGATACATGCAAAATTAGACCTTGCATCCATAAAACTGAAATGAAATTCAGGCTTATATTTCTAGTGTATTTATAACTGAGAAACCGAGAATATAAAGTACTGCATTAATCCACTTATTCTGGACATTATCATGAATTTATCAGAAGTAGATAATAACATCGTGCCATAATTTCTTGGGTCAAAACAAAAGAAAAAGAAAATGGAAGACTACACTAGTAAAAGTTGGAAATTCATGGAAGAAAATATAGGTAGCGATCAGAACCTGTTCCAAGAACTCGAACAATGCAATTAGACGCTTCTTGAATGGATTTGACTGTCGCCCCTTGTTTCCCAATTAAATTTCCTGCCTGTGCAGCTGGGACAAGAAGTCTTGTTGAAACCTTTCCTCCAACTGGAGGTGCTTGGGACAAATCATTGTTCAGACCATCAACAACACGCTTATGCACTTTAAGAAGACCATCAATAGCTGGTGGAAGAGATAATTCAGGCTCTTCTTTTGCAGACACCATCACCTTTCAGATTATAATATTTCAACATCAGCATGACAGAATTATTAACTCATACTATTGACTGTTTCCTAATAGATTTTGATTCCTTTAAAGAAAGAGAACAAAAGGGCGTGAAGCTCGAGCTCATACGAGCTCCATCATGCCAGGAACTCGGAAGGGTTGGACCATCAAGAGTTCAATGTGTTAGGTCTTCTCTTATATTTAATAAGAGGAAAGTCCGCTTCTACAACTCTAAATCATAACCTCACGTCACATGGCAACAGGTTTTTTACTGCTGTGCCAAATCAACCTTCAACCTCCTAAAAAAACGAAAAGATTTTTGTGGCTGCAATTAACCATTTCCTAACAGATTTTCCTTCCTCAAATGTAAGAAAGAAAGTGGACGCTGCCTAATTCAAGGAAGCTAGTTAAGACAGAATACAGGTAAGGGATGCCATTAAAATCTTAATTAAATTCCATAATGTTTAAACCATTTGAATAGAGTTGAATGTTTTGCGAAATCAAAATATACATGAATGTAGGGTGAATGAAAGATAGAATCACATAAGGTGCTATGATTTAAGCAAAAATTTTAAGGTAAAATAAAAGACGAGAAAGTAGTTTAACAAATTTTCAAAGAAACAAGCACTGAAAGAAGAAATCTAAGATTTTTTTTAAGATAGATATCTGATGTTTGAAAATAGATAAGATATTCTCATAGTTAGCACATCCACACCAGGCAGATTACTATTAGGAATAAGGAAAATATCTAACCAGCTCATATAAACATCAATGAGCTGTAATAAAAACAAAAAAAAAAGGGTAGTCAAAGGAGAAACTAAACACCACCTAGTTATGGACACAGGAAAAACGATCAAGGATCAAACAAAAGAAAAGTAAACATACAGCTCTTTCGGTTGTTCCTTGAGGGCCATCAAGAATTTTAATACGAGCTTTTGTCTCCTCGCACATTTTCTTTATGTACTCTCCTTTACGTCCAATTATACTGCCAACCTTCTGGGCTGGAACCAAAATCCGAAAAACACTTTCTCCAGGCCAACCGGGCCACCTTTCACCACCCAGAGCAACTGAATCACCTTCATGCTCTGCTTGACCACCCACAGCAACTGAATCACCTTCATGCTCTGCTTGCTGCTCTTCTTGTCGTTCTGCTTGCAGGTCTGGTTGCTGCTCCGCCTGCAGTTCTGCTAGCTGCTCTTCTTGCAGTTCTGCTAGTTGCCCTTCTTGCAGTTCTGCTTCAGTCTGCAAGTTCTCTTGCTGTGCATCAATTTCATTTTCAACCAAACTCTGATCAATTTCCGCCATTAGTTCGTCACTGGAAAAACACAAAGGTCGACAGCAATTAATGAATCCCCCAAATTTTAACAATCTAACTAGAGGGACAAAATAATGAGAAGACGATGAAGAAAGAAAGGAAACAGAATGTGCAGCCCAAACCATTTAACTTTATTTTATTTGAGAATTAGAATTTGCTTTAGAACTTTAACAATCTGCTTTGCCTTCTTCTCTATACACCGTTCCATGACAGTGTTTTGCTATACAACAATCCCTTTTCTATACAATCTGCTTTGCCGGATTTTGGCTTATACCGGTGTCGAGACGGACACCGGTATGGGATCTGTGTCCGGCGTGGTGGTCACCAGATTCTGGGTAGGGTCAACGGGAAACCAAGAGGCAAGACAAAATAAACAGAAAAATTGGAAGAGATCAGAAGCAGAGGGTTGGAGTAGAAGAAACACAAGAAAGATCAAAGATGCGACTCCCGTTCGGTGGCTGGAGAAAGAACAGAGATAAGAAGCGGCGGTGGCTTAAACAAAACAATGGAGTACTAGTACTAGGGTTATACTTTCTTGAAAAAATCAAAAACAAAAAAATTTAAAAAAAAACATTAAATGTGTAATCTAATCATTTAAAATATTTCACAAACTAATCCCTAAATTTCTTTTCTCTTCTGTTTTTACCCCAATACTTAGTTTTAAAATAATAGATTCTTAGATATTTTAATACTCATCTATTCTATATATACAAAATGTAAATTTGGACGAAACATAAGCAATATCTTCCAAATTCTCAGTCAATTCTTGGATAAATATAAATATAATGTCCATGTATTTATATTTTTCCTAACTATACATAACGTATCTATGTACCCGTGTCTAATTACGTACCCATGTATCCTGATCTTTCAAAATTGAAGAGTCTGACACCTATACCCATGTCTTACCCGACGCCCGTACCTAAGTCCATGAACCACGTTGAACATTCAGAAGGACATTTCTTATATTTTGCTCCATCAACAATTTTTTTGGTCATCACATATCATATCCTCAAAGAAAAAAAATCTAGAAAAGAAAAGAAAACAACTTGAGAGTACCAAAAAGATTTGTAAATGATCATATCGTGAATCCTCAAAGTCAATGGAAGTCTATGTTCCCTAGAGAAGCACTTCGCACTTCTTCCGACACATGTTAGTTAGCTTTACAAAGATTGATCTGATTGGCATCAGAAAAGCTAGATATATTAATAGCATCAATCAAAGTTCCACTACAAGAATCATTAAAGCTACTATAATTTTAGAATAATCGGGATCAATAATAACAGTTAGCATTAAAACTACTACACATATCCACTATTTTCGGTAAACGATGTAGAATGTATAACCATATCGAGGATCCCAGATTCAAAAAATCCAGAATTCAAATAAAGATTGCTATCACAAAAGTTAGAGATATCTAATATATCAGTTAAAACTCCACAAGATAAAAACTCCAAAAGAGTTACAAATTTTAAAAAAAATCAAGAGTGATAACAAATACGATACTATCTACAACTACACAATCTATAAATTCAAATTTTAAATACAAACTACAAATGAACAGATCACCTAGAATCATATCCAAACAACTCAATCATTAGTGAATGGAAAGCCAGGGGATCGTAAGTCACTGCAGCATTTCCAGCGTCAGTCATGATTTTCACTTGATTAAAATATAATCAGTACGCAAGCTTGAGGGGGGAGAGAGAGAGAGAGAGGGAGAGAGAGATAGAGAGAAACACAAAAGAAATAAAAACATTATATCCTTCTTGAGTCCCATAAAACAGTATCGGAAAACTTTAAATGCAAAGATTTAAATGCCGAAAATAAAATGGAACATTGCACTTGACACAGAAGTGTATACCATACGTTGCACCAAAAAAAAATCCATTGTGTTTTTTTTATATCAGATTAGGAAAAGCTTTGAATGTCCATATATAGCTCACTTAATAAAATCTGGAATGTATTGACTCTAAACATCCAACCTTCATTCAACTGAATGGAGGTTGGTTTGCAGGGAAAAGAACTTCAAAAGGATAGAATATTACCCTAGAATTCTATAAACACATTCATGCTTCATAAAATCAACACAACTTGATAAAGTTCAACATACCTTTTTAAGCAAAATATACACTACTGTAGTTCCAATGTGTGTAAACTACATTCCTCCATTCCCAACACTCCTTCAAGTTGAATTGTAAATGTGAGAACTGTTTGGTCCCATGTTTGTTCAATTTGACATTCTTCTGTTCAAGAATATAAGTTTACTTTCAAGTTCTTTCTCAACATGAGCCCCCAATATGAAGACTTGCAAAATTATTATTTGCATTTAGAATATGCAATCAAAGTTTCCTAGCACAACTGCTTAGCTGATGATTTTGTTATGTATTGTAATCATAGACAGGTGTCCTAAGCCTTAAGATGACAAAACATTTATAATTAAACAATTCTTTTAACTTTCAAACAAAATACTACAAGAGTTTCTTTAGGCAAATAATGTCAATCAACGGAACATATGCAAATGTTAGCAAAACTCATTATACATACTTCATGAGAAATGATGACGCGAAATAAAAAGGGATTCATGCTCAACCAAACACAACCTATACATGTGGCATTTGACAAATAAAGCAGTACTCAAATATCAATAATCTTCAAATAACCTATGGGCCATCCTTTTTTCCAAGCCAACATGTCCATGCTTGCTCTAAACCAGATATCATGCTTTTCCAAAACCATGTTCAATATATCTTCAATTAATTTATGTTTCTCTTTCAACTATTTGTTAGATGCCAAGTGTTTGTATTTATGTATAAAATGCTAATTAGGAGAATGTGACAAGTTATCAATGCAAGCTTACCCTTTCCAAAATCTATCGACTGCCAACCGTCATAAAATTACAAAGCAAGGATGCTTACATAACTAATCACATTTCAGAATCAATGGCATGTCAAGGATGCTTACACAACTATCTAGGTTATATTAATGCAAGATGCATCTTATCTCCTATACATCTTCCCAACATTGACGTGGTCGCATGTTATCAAATGATTGTTTTACAGAAACTAGCAAGATTGTCTCCTCAACCACAGCCATCTAGAAAAGGAATATCATCAAAAAAAAAAGAAAGAAGAAGTAATAGATGGTAGTCAGGGACAAAGAGTGGATAGAAAGTGGTAAAAAATACCAGTAAAAGAAATTCCAACCATCTACCTAAATTGCATATCCATTTCATTTGTAAGTAACACTACAACAAAAAAAGACCTTTTGCAACACTGCAAGAGGTTGTGCCGCACTGTAATGTCATAAATTTGCGTCAATCATTTTATTGTGTCATAAATTGGTGACATAATGGTGTCGTTTAATTATGTGTCACAATTTTGTGTCAAATATGTGGCATTAAGTTTTTCTACCGCAAAATTCCGTCACATTTTTGTGACACTTGAAAAAGTGTTATTAATGATGAGAATCATGTAGCCTTCCATGGTGATTCTCCCAGTGAGGGGAATGAGCTAGTCCTTCATTCTAGTTTTGGAATGCCAAGTTTACTTTGTAGGCCAATCAAGGAAGAAATGATGGATCTTGACTACCTATGTAATAGGGAGTTGGTTCAAGAGAGCTATGATCAAGGTGATGAGAATGTCATTAACTTTGGGGTTCAAACCAAAAGAGATGATACACTCATGGAAATAAGTGCTCAAGAGTATCAAAGGAGTTTGACTCTAGGTGCTCCATGAAAATCATTGATCAAGCTAGAGAGAAGAATCATTTAGGTTCTTGAATGGACAGCCTATTTGATCAAAGTGTTCAAGATTGAGTCCATTGCTACACAATTGGATAGGTTGCAAACTATCTCAATTGTTTCAAGTGTTTTTCCAATCTTTTGGAGTCAATAAAGAGAATTCTACAAGTTTTGGGATAAATTGGAGTTTTCTACAACTTGAGGGACGCAAGATAAATACTTCACTTTTGGAAGGGCGTTCAAGACATTTTACTTGAATATTTGGAGCTGAATTTCGAGATTAGAGTTTGTCTAAGTCTAGGAGTTTAATTTTCTAATTTTATCTAGTTAAATAAGTCATGTGGGCTGAATTAAGCTAGGGTGTTTTGATTAGGAATCTTAGATTCCTTCTAAGTATTATCCTATTTGAGGATAAGTCATTTAGATAAGGTTTTCTAGATTTTAGATAGAGTCAAAGAGATCAAATACTCTTCTACTTCTACTCCTGCGTGAGATAAGATTAGAGAGTCCTAGTTGGTCTTCTTTTTTGGTGCTTGGCCGAAATTCATAGCCTATAAATAGGGGGGTATGGCCGAAAGTTAAAGCACCCATGTGTGGTCATTTTGAGTCTTCTCTAATGAGAGTTTTTCCTGTGAGGAATTTTTTTTAAATGGTGTGTCCATTTTTCGTGTCAAGTATGATTTAACCAAGAGGGTTTTCATCTTGTCTTGGATCTTTTGATCTTGCAGAAACAGTTCTTTTTCAAGTATGCTTCTTGATAGAATTGTTTTAAGACTAAACTTCTTATTTTCATACTATTTCTAGTAATTCGAGAGTTGAGCCTTTCTTTTGGCTATGGTTTTCGAATTTATGATGTGTGTATTCATGAGTTCCTTTGTGGGGTTTGTCCTACTTTTGATGAATTGTGCTTAGGCATAAGCATTTTGAGATAGTGTATGTGTTGCATATCTTTGTTGGTTATGGAGATTGCTAATCAATAGTATTCTTTCATAGTTGAGCTTTGTTTGCTCCTACCTTTCTTGAGTCTCTTGAGTGATGACTGATCGAGTATATTGAATGGTGTCCTTGCTATTCTTAGTGTGGGTTGTTGTTTAATTCGAATTTTTCATGGATAATGTGTTCTTTGCTTGGTTTGAGTTAAGAGATAGAAATCCTTAGATAAACGATCGTCTTATTATGAATTTTCCACACTCTTTTGAGTTTCACGGGATAGACAAATTATCTTTGTACTTTCTTGTTTGATGGTTGCATTAACGAAATTTGCTTCATCTACGAGATTGCTATTAGTTTCTGGTATCAGAGCTTGAACTATCTAAGTGATGGTATTAATTGATATTATCATATCAGTTTTTAGTATCAGTTTGATTGTCGAGAGATTTCTTTTTGATTGAGGACTTCATAGTTCTTGGTTTTGAGAATATCTTGAGTTACCACGGAATCCGTTTCTTGGTGTGGTAATCGAGTTTTGTGCTACTAACGAGTAGTATTATCTTTATTTGTTTCAAGGTTCCTTTTTGTTGCAGAATGGGTTTTGAAAAAATAAATCAAATTCTTGTGAAAACTACGTTTTCAAAATTGATCTTGTCTTTTGTGTGGTTGTGCAAGACTTCTTACACATTTATTTGATCTTATGGTGTTATTTTGGGGTCTATGCGAGCGCTTGATGATGGTACATTGGTATCTAGTCAAAGTGGGCACTACATCTTGAAATTTATCCTTGATTTGCAAGTAGAGAACGGTTTCTCCTATGAGCAAATAGTGGATCTTATGTGTTGAATCTTT